AATATTCATTCTTATATATCTTGTTTTATTCAGACAGCCAATTAACTTGAAATTGCACTAGGAACCGTTTTGTTAGAGTTATAATGTTTTGAGTAGAACACAACTGCCATTAGACGCCATATTCCTTTTCATAATTTGTTGGAATAAACAATAGGTTTTAGAAATCATTTCATTCAAGAATCAACAGATAATGTTCCTTGAAATCCCACCAAAGTTCTTGTACTCATAATTGTCTTATCCTCCTAGTGGATGAATAAAATTAAGATTTATATTAAGTTTATAGTGAGTAAACCTGGATCAGTCCACAATCAACAATAGAACAAGTTAAATATCAAATTCAATACAATACAAAAATCAATTAATTCAAGGAGTTTTGGCGCCCACGTCTGCCAGGCCAAGCTCTGGCGCTGACAGATGGAACCCAGCCAAAGTATCCAAAATGCACTTCCACGGTTTCTGACCCCTCCTGACCAATATGTGGTCCTGGCAAAATTCATGTCTTACCTCCTCTCCTTATTTTCTGCCTACGTCGACCTTTATAGAGAGTCTAATGTTGAGAATTGAAAAAGTTTTGACACATATATGTCCTATACTTTAACCATGTAACATTGGCTCATTTACATACATACCTCAATGATTGCTAAAATATTATAAAAATACTAAATTAAAAACTTATTTGCAATTCTACCTAACTGAACATAAATGTATAGATTATTACTGATATTACGAACGGTGGCTTATCTTGTGAAGATTCACGTCATTTACGTGATTCATTCCTTAATTAAAATATATTGTAATTGTTAAATAAAAGGACTTCTCTCTCTATCTCTCTCTCTCGATCGACGAAAAACCTCTCAATTTTTCATATATGTCTCTTCCTTGTCATCTCCCATGGATTTTTTTTAGCGGTGTCGGGCAGAGGAGCGGTCGAAGAGGTGGCGATGCCGTCTAAAAGAGAGATGGTCGGGTCTTCCAGCAATATTACAGCGGCAGGGATTGAAGTTGTTCCCGGCAGGATTTTTAGTCGTTACCGACGTCTTGGTTGATTTTTGCGACAGGGATGCCGAAGATCCATTTTCAGCTGTCTTAATTGAACTGGAGGGCTGATTTTTATTTTTTTTCTGTGAATTATGTTTTTCTTATGATTTTTTGTGAGAATTTTGGGGAGGATGATGTTTGAGAAATCGGATGGCTGGTGGTGCGTATAAAGGGAAGTTTTGGAATTCCACCAGTTGGGTGGGAGACGAGGGGCAAGTATCAGGCTTCATGAGGAAGATGTTTTGGGAGACGACGAACAATTTATGTATAGTTTATTAAGGTGTATGTTTGGTATCCAGAATATGCAATTTCTAGTGTTTTTAAAGTGAAACTTTTACTGCATAATATAATCATGAGTTAAAAACGAGGTGTGTTGTTATTTTTTTTGAGCTAAAAACGAGGTGTGTTGTTATTTTTTTGGTGGTTTATGGTTGTTTATGTATCGTTTATTTTTAAGTGTGTTTGGTACGGAATCTCGCCGTGCATGCCCAGTGGAGAGATTGATTGCAGAGGAAGTTAAGACTCAGACAGACCGCCCCCTTTATTACTACTCAGTCACCGCCTTCCTTGTACGTTTTTGCCTTTCACTACTCTCTCTCTCTACTCTTTCCCTCTCGATTTTCTACGGCTCTTTTGACCGTCAAAAAAATTTCGAAAAAATGCCAAAAGAATACAATGACATCGGCAAGATATTGAAGATTGACCATGTTTTTTTTTTTTTACTTTGTAAATAATTTTTAATTTTTTTTTTTCGCGTCCTATCGGCAAAGAAGGATGCCTTTTGGCGCGTCTTACCGGCCTGACCGGACGCCTTTTGGCGCGTCCTAACGGCGATGTCATGGTATTTTTTCGAAATTTTTTTGACGGTCAAAAGAGCCGTAAAAAATCGAGAGGGAAAGAGTAGAGAGAGTAGTGGAGGGCAAAAAAGTCCAAAGGAACAGTGAATAGTAATGCCCATACTCATTTACTATTCCAAATAATTTACCAATAATCCCAAATAATTTACCAATAAATCATTAATTGTTATTTTTTTTTTCATGGATAACTCTCTAAAAGAACCAATGAATACAGACAGCCAACAACTGAATAAAACTGGGAGGACAGGTCAGAAGACCGCCTAGAATCCCGACACTAGCAAAGCTAGAAAACAACACTCGCAACTACTCTAAAACCAACTACACCAACAAAACAAAAAACAACTGAAAAAGATCCCACCAGGATAATACCCAAGCGTCTGATCCCAACAGGATAATAAGATGACGCTCGGGGGGCGCACTGGGGCCAACGGCCCAAACCTAGAACACAAGAACAAACACAGACACAGACACAAACACATAACAATAACGACAAAATAAACAAAACAACTACGAACTAAAACACAGCCCTCCTTCAGCAAAGACATCCGAGATTGTACAGCAGACAAAGCCGACTTCAAAGGAAGATCCAAAGCACAGGAACTCCACCCGCTACTGTCTAATGCCTAGCAAAGACGAAGACCCGAGCCTCAAAACAGTCCAAAAAAAAAAACCGACCCGCTCTCCAACCGCAAAAAACCACAGTCGACCCCCAACCGGCTAACACCACTAGCCTAGTCCGTCACCATCCCGAAACTGCCTAACACCACTAGTCAATGCCGGACAACGGTCAGCCTCCCTCAGACTCAGAAAGCGCAAAAGGGAGGAAGGGTTCGAATGGCTTCCAGGCCCAGCCGCACAATCACAACTCGAAAAAGCGACCATCTCTTCCCAACCCGGCACAAGAGGTCCGAATCCCGCCCCAACCGCCCCACATCGCCGAAACCGGCGTGAATAGAAGAGTTAAGACCAGCGACCACCAGGTCCGGCCAGAAAAAAGAGAAATCGCCCTTACTTGAGTTGGAATGAGCAGCCAAGCCCCATCCAAGGACTGATGACACTCTCACCGAACCCCACCGCCGCAGGACAGCCGACGTCCATCACGCAGAACCGAGATGAAACCCTAGCCTGCTCCTTTGGCTTGAGACACCGGATCCGAGCACCTCAGCCCAAAATTGGGTGCACCGCTGGAGAGCTATCTACCGGCGAACCCGGTCGACTGCTAAAGGAGGCTCAAAACGGCGAGATCGGAACGACGAGCGAGAAGAATTGGAATGGCAAGAGAAAGGGGCGAGAGAAAGAAATTTTTATTTCTCTACAATTGCTAAGTTATAATTTACTTAAGTTTATTATAGATTTATAAACTAATTCTTTTAATTATAAATTTATATCCAATTTATTTTCATTTTATTATACATTTATAAACCAAAACAAGAATACAAACTTTTATTATGTATATACATTTTTTTTTTTCAGTTTCTTATATACTCTGCGCTGAATAATTGTCCTTTCCCCGTTCGGATAAAAATCCATTCACTCACACAACTAAAACATAAATAATGACATAAACTACAAATAAACGAAACAAAAAGTATTAATATACATGAACCACGAGAAAACCGTTGTTTTCAGCATTTTCGCCTCAACAGGTTTTCTCTAAACTCCACAACCCACATCATCTACTCCATCAACCCCCAAAATTAATGAATTAGTATCCAATTACATTATATAGCCAAACATAAGCTTCAATTTCAACAGACTTGATGCCATATTGTGCAACCAAGTTGTCCTCATAAGAAATTGCGAGGCTGATCTGAAATGGAGGGACATTCGATCATGTCATCAGATGTCGGGATTTCCCTAGTTGAATCCCCGACCGCCGTTAAGGACCTTCTTCAACAACGCAACTACCCAGCAGCCTGAAATCGACCTTGGCCTACCCGACCCTGTCCTCGTTGTCCTACCGAACCTCTCGCATAATTGGGATGAAAGTTTGAGAAGAAAAAATGGAGAAAGAAGAAGAAGAAGAAGATAAGGAGAGAAATTGGATGAGACTAGGAAAGTGACAGGAAAATAACGGGGAAGAGGAAAGAAAAAAGGAAAAAGCTTTTTACATACATATATACATATTTCCATTAAATTCGATAATTCCATAAATAAAATATAATTATATTTAGACCAGCATTCTAGTATTTATGCAAATAAATATGTTAGTGTTAGTGTTTTGCTAAATTTTATAATATGAGTTGAATGTAATAAAAAATAATGATATTATGCGGTGCACTAAGTAATTTCCTCATAACAATGACAATTACTTAAGTTTTGGGCTTAATTAGGTTACTAATTTTTGTGAGAAAATGGCGTCTTTTGCGATGATTTATTATTTATTTATTTATATACGAGTCATTATTATTCTTTATGTTTGGTATCTATATTTTTATAAATTTACTTTCCTCTTTATCTTTTTACGTGGTTTTAGTGATAAGGCGGTTCATTAATTTTCAAGGCAGTTATTGCCTACCTTTATTGTCAAATATTTTTATAGATTTTTTTGCTAAAATTATGACTGTTCATCTTCTTTTCTTCATCTTATTTTCTCCTCGCCAGACGTAACCCCCTGATTCTCTCTCAATTGGCAACCCTATGCATTCTCAATTTTTTCTCACTTCACCTCATGAAACCACTGCCGCCGTGGTGCAAATTCCTCGGCCGCCCCTAGTGTTCGCCGGCGCGACCGACAAAACTGGGGAGGTCTGCCCTCGTCGTGTTCGATGAATAGCAGTGGTCGATTTCCAGTTTTTCCAAGGTCATGGGCGTGGTGTTGGGAATAGCGTGGGCTCGAGGAGGTGGTCGGGTCGTCGGAGATTGGGAGGCAGCGGTCGTCGAAGGAGAAATCAATGATTGTTTTTTTTTTTCGAGATTGTGAAATTGTAAAAATTGTTCGACAGGAAACGTTGGGTATCAGTGGAGTGAATTTTTGTTTTTTAATGAGTGAATGTGTAGTTGCTTAATGGTTGTTTTCAATCATNACTAGTGTGTTTTATTTTTTTTTTAGTTGTTCATCTGCCCGGTGATTTATGTAAATAAAATTATATTAAGTTGGTGTAAAAACAGTTCGGTTGTTTAATAATTTAAATTAATGGTGATTTGTGTAAATAAAAATCTATTCCGTTGGTGTAAAAACAATTTGTGTTGTTTTAATGATTTAAATTTGAGCAGTTACTATTAATTTCACATATTTTAGAATACTAATCTGTAATTTACTAAATAATCTCAGTAGTGGGTATTTTCATAAACTCTTTTTCAATACTAGACAGTACGTAATTTAGCCAATTTTTACTACGGGCTTCAACTAGAGATGGGACCATTTTTTCGCTCATGGGCTTGTAAAGCCCAAATCTTTTTCCGCAAATTCGATTATACTAACTACATATATTCAAAGAACATATCAAAATTTTGATTTTCAGGAGGACTTTCTCGATTGCAGCTACAAGCCTATAGATCAGAGCTTCAACGTCGACTCTATAACTCCATCTCGATTTCAAAGTAAGATCCCGGATTCTAATTTTCAATTTTGTCTTTTAGTTTTCTGTTTATGTTTCATTTTCATTTGTAGCTCTTGATCTGTTTATTGAGTATGATTTCAATTTTTTTATGCGAGATTGGATAATTCCGTCTGTGATCTGTTGGTACCCTTGGGTGTGTGCTGTGTTGATTTGGGGAGTGACAATCGCGTAGAGATTATGCCTACCATGATTTTTGAAATGCTTCCAAAGTAACTGTAGTTTCTTTGATTTTGCTCAAGATTTTAGGTTGACTTGTCTGTACTGTTCATGAGGGAGTCAGCACTTCTTATGAGCTAGTTTAGTTTAGGTGTGAACAAATGAACCTAATGATGAGTAAGTAATATATCTTGAAGCACAAATCTCTTATTATTATTTTTGTGTAGAGAGATTGTTTATATGGGCAGGACGTGGAGGAGATGAGGGGTTCTTGATTTTTCAACTTTGTAGGTTAATTGTGACATTAGAAAATCCAATACCTGAAGGAAAGATGAGATTTTTTAATGTTAAAGTTGCTATATATGCACCCAGTAACTGGTGGTCGGAAATAAAAAGGTTGTGATTGCTGGAAAATGTTCAATTTCACCAATAAAATGGCATTAAATAGCACTTTTCGTTGAACTGAATTTGTTTTCTGAGGTTTATCTTTTCAAATTTGTTGGTGTTCCAAACTATTAGTGTTTGAAAGGGGAATATGGTTTGGATAATCTACCCTAGTTTTATTATGAAGTTGTTTTAATCAAAATAAGTTGAGTAGTCTAACTTAAAGCACTGAAAATTTGATGATTAGTCTGTTAGGATAATAGTATTGTTCCAAGCAGTGTTATCAATGGTGGATGGCGTAATATGGAAATTTGTGAACACTGGTCCCATGATATATGGACAAATTCATGTGAGTAATGAAGATTGTATCCTAATGCTTTTCCGAATTGCAGAATTGAGGCTATATCTTGACAATTTAGTGGATGAGTTAACACGAGTTGTATTAAAAGATTCCATGGTCTTTTATTTGGGATCTGTGATGCTTATTATGCACTCTCCTTTATTCTTTTTATAACAGATGATTGATGATCAGGACTTGGGCTTCTTTGCCAACTTTCTCGGCATCTTCATATTCGTGCTGGTCATTGCTTACCATTATGTCATGGCGGACCCTAAATACGAGGGTAATTGAAGAGTTACCTCATATGATTTAGTTTCTTTAACAGAAAAATCGGGAATGAATTTACACATGATGTTGTAGAAGTTTTTATGAGACACAGCCAATTTGATCCTTTCTAGTAATCCATGGATTATAATACTTTATTATAGGACAACTTGGAGATAAGTTTGGACCTCCATTTAATCCGAAGTTTTCTTTTGTTTTGGCATTTTCTACGTTTTGCATTGATCTAATTCTTGCCTACTTTGATCTGGAATGAAAAATTTGTGTCTTATCAACCAAACTGAGTAACTGAATTACTTGGTTGTGATGGAGAATCTATTTCGGCAAATGAATTGAGTAAATCAAAAGTTTCGAGACCAATCATGGATGCTTAAACATAGTTGCAACTTTACCAGAAGATGAGTATTTTGTATGTGATACGGTTCAAATCCACATTATTTATTTACACTGGCAATGCATGTCTGCCTAGTTGATACAAGTTTAACTACCTCAGTTTACCAGATGGCATAAAGGGCTAATTAACATTGCAATACTCAATTTGTATTTGGGCTTGTTGTGGATTCCACTCTTCACATGAAGAAAAGAACTGATAATACTGCAAGCCACATTTGAATTTAATCATTTACCATGAAGGCAGTGATACACCAAAAGTTGTATTTAAAATGAATTTTTCCCCCAAATTATTGTCATTATTATTATGAATGATATTAATTTTATAAACACATGTCCTGCTATATTTGAAATTATTTGCTACTTGCATACTTGCATTTAAGCATAAACATAATAAGTAATTTTGGGAAAACCCAAATAAATTACATCCAACTTCTATTTATGGATGTTGTACAAAATAAAAAATTTTAAAAAAAAATATACTCCACCACGCAAGACATTCGCAAGCATTTCAATACTTTCCTCAACCATTGCTCTACGAATCCTAACCTTCAGTAGAATTGACAACAGAAGTAATCTTATGAAAAAACAAAATACAATGAACCCATAGCAAAATAGTTACCAAAAAAAAAAAATCTTCAAATGCCTTTTTCATCAAATTTCATTATTTTTGTATTTTATTTTTCTTTTATAGGAAATCTCAAAGTACCCTTATTCTTGGCCACCTTGGTTGTCGCCTTTTCTTGCTCTTTCATGGCTTCCATGAGCAACCTCTCTTGTTCTCTGACTGGGAAAAGCCCATTTTCGTCATAAATATTATCTTCCATCCCATAATCTCCATAATACAAATTATTCTTCCCGCACTTTTTTTCAATCTCTGCATCTTTTTTCGTCGAGCTTTGCCACAGGTAACGTTGAGGCCTTCTTGGAGATGGAAAATCCTCCATGCATATGAAAAAGAAAATTTTGAATTTCTTGATTTCTAAAACTAAACTTTTCTTCTTGTATTTTTCTTTTGGAAATGGTAAAAATAAGGTAGCTATATATGATGATTATTGTGTGTATAGTAATTATAGACTGCTTATTACAGACTTTACAGTGTGTCTTCTTAGTTGGTGTTTTTGGCTTTATTCACCAAAATAATATTCACAAGCATGTCATGCAAACATTTATTGTTCACAACTGTTTCATTCCAACGTCTTTAATTAATAAACACAGGCCGATGCTCCTGCCAAACTATTCCTGTTTTCGAATTTATTATGCTTCCGTTTAATTAATCAAAATGACAACTTTTTCTNCGTTCAACTTATTACTTATATGCACAACGCTAGCTGATTTACTTCAGATTTTAAGTTACATATTATCGGTTTATTTCAACCTACTGCAATCATGAATTTTTATCGTTTAGTGTGTGTGTCGATTTTAACGGTAAAAAACCCGATAATTGCACTGCAGTGACTTATAGGCTCGACTCTTCCCATGTTATCATATCAAGATTTCAACTTGTCTAGGCTGTAGGTGAACCTACCAAATGATATAAATTCATAACACTTAAAACATTTTATCTGAACTATTGTCCATAGCTATGGCATCTACAGTGATTGTTATTTCCTCTATTATAATGCCTACGTGGCTGTTAAAACTAATGTAGAGTATTTTCTCTATTATAATTCCTACTAATGTAGAGCATTGTTATACCAAAGTTAGGGTGTTAACAGAGGCGAAACCAGAAAATTAGTTGAGAGGAGGCAAAAGACATGACATAATGGGTTCATAACTGATACCGAACCGATAACATTTCGATAACCGATTTTCGGTTACCGTTACACATAAGTCGGTTCCGTTCGGTTTATTTTCTCATCAGCTCGGTTCGGCTCGGTTTTCGGTTTTTGGTAAAAAAATACCAGCCCTAGCCTAGGCAATAAAAGATAGTTGAAGTCTTTTATATGGGCCAATTAAAATTGTAGAATGATAATAAGTAATATACAAAAATTAATAGTAAAATAAAAGAAGTGTTGAATTGTTAATTGATAATTGTGGACAAATTAGCCTGGTGAGTGACGTTTAAAAACAAAAATTTTGGGGATGCAAAAATAAATTTAAAGGGGGGGCAAATTAAAATTTTTAATATTAATAGTAGAAGGGAACCAACTGCCCACTATTAGTACATGTAACTTCGCCCCTGGGTGTTAGAGAGCATGAACATTGAAAACGTTGAATAGAGTTGAATAGAGCGAGTACATTTAACATAGGTATATCATTTTTTTCAACCATGTTTTTAAGCTTTGCAATCTACACTATTTTTTCGTGTAAAATACAACCTGAACTTTATAAACATTCATAAATTGCACACTCGTCCACCATACACTTGTCTACAAGTAGGTGAACGTGGAAATTACGAATGTTCATCAAGTTCAAGTTGCATTTTATCATAAAAAATAGTGTAGGATGCAAAGTTCAAAAACATGTATAGGCGAGTGTGCAAATTACGAATATTCATCAAAGTTCAAGTTACATTTTACTATGAAAAATAGTATAAAATGCAAAATTAAGAGCATGTATATTACTGGTTGTGATCAATGTTTTACCCTGTAAAATATATGTAGGCGAAACAATGGATAACATAATATTGTTAATCCAATGTATGATAATAATAAATGAATTTAATTAAAAGCTGGTGGGCACTATAGATAAACAAATGTTAAAACTAATGTATATGGCTTTAGTGATATTGCCAGCTGCCTAACCAGACATCATTATGAATAATGCCACTAAAGAGAAAAAGAAAACAAACACACACACAAACAAGATAGGTCGGTCACAGCCATCATCGAATATTCCATTTGATTACACACACACAGACACAATAAAATCCCCATATTCATAACTTTATATAAATAGAGGCTGAGATGAAACGTAAAAACCAAACAAACTAATGGCTCATATTTATATTACAAATCACCATTTCCAGCCCATGATGTCATGATGATGATGTTACAAATATACAGAAGAAGGAATGAAAAAGAGAAAGATAACCCTCAAAAACATAACAAAGCTCTCTAACTCCAGCTCACATCCTCATCAATATGTACTAAAAAAACAACCAGCAACACAGCAAACCCTGAACCTGAAGTGCCTATAGATAAAATAAAAGCAATAATTACACAAAACAGATTAAATAAAAAAAAAAAAAAAAACTAAACCTGCTTCCTCCCGTAATTTTTCTCCGAACTGAATATTTCAGCAGTGGGTGATGCTCGAGGGTACTGCTTAAGCTCCTTCAGTATGGACTCTCCACCATCCGTCACACTACCAGTGTGGGGCGTTATCGTCATTTCCTCCAGTGCAGTGGCAGATGCCAATAGATATTTCACAAATTCCATTTCGGCCTCAGTTCCGGAAAATAATTGCATTTTCACCGTTCTCAGCTGTGTAAAAGTCTCGGAGCTTCTTTGTGATCTGAGGAAGTCCGCCACAGAATCCACAACGTCCAGTGTGAAAGCCTGAAATTTTTACGAAAAAAAAATTTATTAAATTACAAGAGGCACCCCTTAAAATTCAGCCTAATTACAAAAACATCCAATCATTAATCGGTTATGAATTTAGGGGCTTTTCCACATAACTCCCTTTGAGAGACTTACAATTTTATTTTATTTTTTTTCATTTTTCTCCAAATAATTTAGGCAAAACCTTAAATGAAGTTAGCAACTTACAGTGATTTTAAGCCTGTGTAAATTGGGGCAGCTCCGAATGAAGCAAATGGCACACGATATCTCCTCAATCTTTTCGAAATACATATCCGAAAGGTGAAGGTTTTTAAGCATTCTCAGCGAGAGGGGCAGCTTTTCTGGTGCACCATTCTCAACAAGGTCCTGCAAACAATCAAAACATACATTTAAAAAAAGCCAGTCAACACTCCAAGAATATATATTCTTTAATTCACAAATAATAAATCAATCTAAACACTGTTTTTCACTTCATCTCAAGCATCAACAAAAATTTCTCACCTCCAAAGCATAAGCTTGCAACTGCAGTTCCTCGAGCGCAGGCAACTCGCTCAACGACTTAAACAAATCCAAAGAAAACCGATTCCCACTCTTAAACTCCATGGACGAGAAAGTTAGCTTCACATCCCTCAAGACCGAACAATTTTCAAACACCACCGACTTAAAAACCCCGTGAAACTCAAAAGATTCCAACTTTGACCCATTAATCTCCAAACGGTCAAAGCTCGTGCACTGTACCAGCCTCAGCCTCTCGAGACACGCGCAAAAAACAATAAACTCCCCAAATTTATCCGGAACAAGCTCCACTCGTTGGAGCTCGAGGCTCGTCAACTTCCCAAATCCCTTAAACCCAAGCACCGGATCAAAAACACAGTTATAAAGCTTCAAATGCCTCAAATTCTCGAACCTGAACAAATCCGGGGTCAGCCTATGGGTCTCTCCTCGTGAGACGTGAAGGGTTAGGTCCTGTAGAGTGTTGTCCGGTAAAAGGTTGACCCAATGGTCAATGTCGGGACTGCTCTTGAGGTCGGGAACTTGGAGGACGAATTTGAGGAGTGGGCCCTTGTGGAGTTTGAGTATTTGGTAGACGAGGGGCTCGAGCTGGTGGCCGCCGAGGAACATTTGGTCAAACCAGAAGTCAAACACGAGCTCGGGGCACGAGATCCACTTGTGGCGCCATTGGCGGGAAAGGATGCTTGTTCGGACCACGTCACGTAAGGGCAGACAGCTGAGGATTGTGTCGATTATGGTGTTTGGGAGGTCGGATATTGGGTCGGTTGCAGATCTTATGGTGTTGCCCTTCATTTTTTTAGGGGAAAAGAGTTCTGGGAGAAGGGAAAATAGAAAATGTATCAGGTTAAGATGTTGAACTAAGGAGGTATTGTAATTCTTGAAGTATTTGATCAGTGGAATAATACAGTCAAAATAAATCCACCAAGAAAGTCGTGATAATACAGGATTCAGATATTTGACAAAGAAAGTGAAACTGAAAAAGAATGGAACATTCAAGCGAGTTTTTTGTCTAGAAAGATAATCTAAAAAGAAAAAGATGTGTATTTTATAGGGCCTAGAGCAAGCAGTGCAATTGGGCTCATAAAGGCTATAAAAGCTCAGCCTTAGATGAAGCTATGCATAGGTTTGACTTCACAAATGCTTCCTGATTGGACTAGTACACAAGCGATAATAGAGAGGAACAAAGGATCATCTAAAAGGTGATTGAAGTGGTCCTTTTTCTGTTAGTCTAATTGAATAATTTGAATTGAAAGATGTAACAAGAGAAATTCTCACAGCAAGAGTATCCCAGTGGGCAGATATATCTTCTGAAATCAAACGTTTAATAAGCAAATTGTTTGGAAAAATTCAATCTTTGGTTTTTCTTGAACAATTCCCTTGTGGAAAGGCCATTGGTTATCAAAATTCAATGGGCTCAACTAAGCTAGGGAGAGGTTAGAGGAGACAGTGGAGCAAGGTATACATTATGCGCTACTTGTAATAATGTAATAATTGAGTCACCATCACAGAAATATTCAAATCAATAGGAAACATTTTTTCTTCTTCTATAGTTTTTTATGTGAGCAGATGACACGTGTGGCATAGTGGCAGTCAACTACTCACGCGTGCCACAGGGCCACCGGCACACCATCCCCACCGCCATTTCTGTGAGACGCTTTGTGTGATTACCGGTGCCGATGGTGGGGTTAGGAAGATAACAATTACAAAATTAAAAAAGTTTCAAAATTAAGTTTAATATGAGAAGAGGAAAACGATTGACTGCCCACTGTCTTCAGAGCTGATATTTTCTGACCAAAATTGGTATATCGCCCAATAAGAAGAACGAAAAAGATCTAACTTTACTTCATCAAAAACAATTTCAGCTTTGCTATTTACCATCAAACGATGAGAAACCGATATCGAATCAAACAAGCCCACCAAAAAAAAAAGACACAAAATACTACTAATTAGCATAAAACAAAATCGACAAATCAAGACTTACCAGAGTGTTCTTTTCTTGAATCTTAACCCTCCAAACAGTATATATTGACGAATTTCTGAGCAAGAACGCGTGATTTGACGAAAATATGATGCCAAGAGAATAATAACTGATAAGGTGTGTGAGAAAATATACAGATCTAAGCCGCTTCAATCGTAGCAGAAGAAGAAGAAGAAGAAAAATGGAAAACATTCACATGGCTGATACGTGATGACATTTCTGGATACATAGGTAAAGGAACTTCTTTAAATCAACAACAAAAAAGCAGTGGGGCCCCAGTTTATTTAGATAAGTCTAAAAAACTTTAAATAATATTGTACCATCCATCCATATTACATGGTTGGTGGTACTATACATTTTATTATTGATTTGAGATCTTATCCAATTGTGTGTGCTACTGCTACGGCGGTACAAGATGGGTATTTGTCAATTTGAACTTATCCTAAAATGTCACCACATCTTACCAACTTTGAATATATTGGCATGGACTAGTACTAATTGGACAATTAAACTTTTCAATTATTGGTATTCACTGTGTAGTTAAACAAT